TTTTTTCTTCCGAGGAGAAACAATTGTTTCAGAGAGGGTAAAGTTTTCATCTCTACCGATCCCGAGGGATCTTACAACCAACGGCCCTTATTTTCAAGGAAATTCTTTTTCCCCATTGCGAGGAATCGTTTATAAAGTAGTTTTTATTGAGTGTATGTCAAGTAAACATCGATTTAATCTTTTTCGTAACATTGTCTCGTGTAACATCCTATCGAATGATCGCATAAACATATTTATGTTGCTTATGAAATTTATCTTTGCGCATTTTTTTTTTTCAAGTTTTAAATAATCCAACTGTTCAGGTAATTGCGATAAATATTAAATAAAATCGTCGGTAAGCAACAATCGTAGCCTTGTTTTTTGATCAAACTACGATGAATGATAATTTGGAAATATTCATATATTCCACATTTTCAAATAATAAATATTTCGAATTGTTTTTAATGTCAACAAATATTACGAATATTAATATCGTCGTTATAAAAAGATCGATTGTTTTTATTATTAATATTTAAAAAAGAAAAAAAATGTGTCAGTACCAGGATACGAAACTTCAACTACCATTTATTCCTTTTTTATTTTGATATCCTTCAGTGTTAGTACAATATTAAAAATTGAATTTTTTTGTCAAAAGAAAAACCCTCAAAATCACGTTTCAAATTTGTCTCGTATTTACGAGATCGAAACTCTTTGCGTTCTTCAACATCTCGAGGAGAGATTTATTTTTATCAGATGTCATTCTCTTCTCTATCTTGATATATTTTTTTGTTCTACGTTCACCGATAAAGAGAGAATCATGGCATGGAGAGGAAGAAGAAGATTTTCACGAATTTCTTGTTCGTTCTAACAAGCTTTCTCATCTCTAACTCGTCTCTGGCAAAAGATGGGTCGGTCGACGGATGGATGGACGGGCCGTCGAGAGAGATCCGTCGTGCCTAAAAATAGGAATGAATAAATTATGAGACGAGTAGTAGTAGTAGTAGTATTAGTAATAGTAGTAGTGACTAACGTTCTAGCTTTTCTTTCTTCGTCGTTCGTCGTTTCTCACGCGAGAATAGTAGTGAGTGGCGCGCGTGCGTCGCCAAACGAGAGAAGGAGCTGATAAATTGGCGAGCAGGCCGCGACCGACCGACTTCTGTCGATGACTGCCATGTCCGTCTGGAACTTTACTCCTTCTCTTCTCATCTCATCTCATCTCTTCTCTGTTTGTCACTGTCTCTCTTTGAACGAGCTTTTTTTGCCACGTCGATCAAACCGAGGGAACATTTCTCTCTTGTGACTTTCAATCTAGAAGATTCACAGCTGGATTAATATTAAAATATCTCTCTCGTGTTCCTTTTTCCTTTTTTCTTTAGAGATTCTAACAAGTTAATTATTTACTTATATATATATATTGTAATTGAATTTATTTAGGTATAATATACATATTTAATGTTTTAAACTTCTTTCTATTTTATATTATAATTTATGAATTCGAAATATTATTTTTTACAATATATATTTATAATGTATCAAATTATATTATTTATAGCATGTATTTGTATTTTTATCGAATTTTTTTTTTTTTTTTTTTACAAGATATCACTTTATAAAAATGATTGCTCTTGAAAGTAGTTATTTCTTTTAAAAAAAGAAACAAGAGTTTCGTGTCAAGGGAAAAGAACAGGAAGGATAGAGTAAGGGAAGGGACCAAAGAAGATCTAATATTCCTCGCCGGATTTTGAAGTAGGCAAATAAAAAGGAAAGCATGAGTAACGGTGTAGAAGATCTTCTTAAGCCTTTAGACGCTGCTACGGTGGTAGCTTGAAAACGGATTTACTTGGTGTTAATGATAATACGACAGTGAAGCTTATACGCGTTGGCTAATAAATTTTCCTCGGCTATTTCTTATAAGGCTATGCCATGTAATTCGATCACAACGCGATTATACGAAATCCATGTTTTATGTAATTTATGAAAATAAATGTTAATCTTTCCTTATATGTAAATTATATGTCTAGACAATTATATCTGTGAATAAACGAATACAATTTCATTCCTGTTAAAAATAACAAAATGCAATAAAAACTTATCTAATTATTTGCATTTCATTATTCGATTCGATTTTTTTTTCTCATTCGTATTTACATTTTAATTATACTGCATAATACTGGATAAAAATATATATCTGAAAATAATGACTGCAATTAAATTATTTTTATTCACGCGAATATAGAATTTGTTTACGTAACGGACAATCGTAAGAATCGCGTCTAAGAAAATAAATGTTAGAAAATAATTAAATAAAAAAAAAAAAAGAAGAAAAAGCTGAACGATGTGTGTATCGAAGTTGGGGGAAATAAAAAGAAATAAAAAAAATCACATAGACGCGCGTGTAAGAAAAATAACAACAAAAGCCGTCCATCCTATTCTTGTCGAAGTTAAGTTCAGAAAGCTTATATGAACGTCGTCACGTAAAAGATAGAAAAAAAACCAAGCATATAAAGTTTCGTTGCAAAGAATAAAGAAAGAATGGGTAAAGAACGACGATAGGGGTTGAAGAAGAAAAGAAAAAAGAAAAGGAAGAACAAGAACAAGATAAAATAATCGATAGGTTGACGTTCTGTAAGAATAATGATAACAACAACGGGACTACTATTACTACGTTTAGTTAGAGTTCGTATTTTCGTAGGATATTTTAATAGTAAAAATCAGAAAATGATAAACTCTTTCGTCAGCGACAGATGCCGAGTTTCAGATAGAATTGCGTCGAGTAGAACGTAAAGAGAGAAAACGGAAGACGATTCGGCTTTGTCCTGTCGACCGTTTGCGACTAATGAGCCTCTCTGTCCATTCTCTTTCTCTCTTTGTCTTACTGTTTCTCTTGTTGCAGCTCGATGGTCGCTAATAAACCACTTAATTTGCACCGGAATTACTTGGGACAACGTCCTTCCTTCCAACGAACGAACGAACGAACGAACAAACGAATGAGTCCTAAATAACGAGCTAGATATATAGAAGGAATACTACATTCCTTCCCCCCAACTCATCTCATCCCATCCCATTCCCCACCTTGCCCTCTTTTTCTCTATTTCTAAGTCAATAGTTTCAAACACATATACAGTGACTATTATTAAACATATTATTAATCGACCATGATTATAATCTCGTTTGCATATGCAAGAAACTTACGTAATTATTAAAAATATTAAATTGTGCACAAGTGTGTTATTATTATAATGTTATATAAATAAATCTGTCTGTATAGAATATTTTAGGGAGTAAAAAGAAAATTATTGATTTTTCAAGTTTCTACACAATTGTCCTATGCTTAATCATGATCGCTAATTTATTTATCGAGAGTTACATTAAATGGTATAAATAAAATGATGGGTTGTATTAAAAAATAAAGAAATTTCATCTATAGAGGATGCAAATGTTTTATTGCGAAGAAAGAATACCAATCGTATTAAAATAAGAGAAAAGAAACGAAACCATATTAGTCATCGAGACACAGTGTCTCCAAAAGGGTCAGCTTTACACTATTATAATTGCTTTAAATTAAATGTCTTTCGTTTTTTATTTCTCTTATCGATTATCAAAGCAACAATTGCAAAATCGATTTATCCTTTAGCTTTCTCCGTGTTATAATCTCTATCACGTTCGCAATTACAATCACATCGGAGTAAGGTTTTTAAAACACACGGATCTTTCCCTGGGATCGCGTCACGTGTCGTTCAACGAAAGTCCGTCGTCCGTTAGCGATAAAGACGAGAGTTGACATCACGAAAGCGATCGAATTTTCGCGACAGTCGTGTTCCGATTCGATCTGCGTGTGTTCTCTCTCGTGTTCGGCTGATAAGAAGTCTCGACGGGGCGACTATGTCTCGTAAAATAAAATTACAAAAAAAGAAAAAGAAAAAGAAACGTACGTACGTACGTGTACCGAAGGGTGAAATAGAGAGAGAGAGAGAGAGAGTGAGGKGGAGGTGAGAAAGGGAGGTTAAAAAAAAAAAGCAAGTTGAACAAGAAAATGAAAGAGAGAAGCAAAAGAGTTGTAGTAATACGAAGGGGTGAACGAGAATGAGTGGGTGATCGAAGAGAGAAGGTGGTTGATGGTTGGTTGGGTGATGGAAGAGGTGAAGGAGGTGGAGGAAAGAAAAAAGGTGCAGGCGCACTTGCACTCATTTACTTTCCCGTAGCGGCATGAGTCACACTCGAAAGAAGCCTAATCTCACGCGATCACTCCGTGTCCGGTGACCGTTCATGCTCTTTCTTTCTTTTTTCCTTTCTTTCTTTCTTTCTTTCTTTCGTTCGTTCGTCGCCTTTACCCTTTTGGCCCTTCGTTACACGCATCTAAATGCCGCTCTGTTTTGCATTTTTTCTTTCCTAATATTATTATGTTTTTATTTCGTTCATATCGAGGACGCCGATCTTTTTCTACCAACCAACTCGTACAACGCGTGCTCGTTTATTCTCAAACTCTTTCTCTTTCTCCTTCCTTTCTTTCTTTCTTTCTTTCTTTTTCTTTCTTTTTCTTTTTCGTTTCGACTTTCTCTCTCTTTCTTTCTATCTGAATTTTTTTCTTTCTTTTCTCATTCTCCTCTATTTCGACTGTCCGTATTCGCAAGATGCCTATCCCCCTACAACAAGTTTCGGACCGGAAGTTACATAATTAATGCTTTTACGCCTTGTTTTTCGGAGGCCCTTCCTTTCTACTGCGATCCAGCTGAATCGTCGGGCCACTGATCGATTGCGTTTCTCCGTTTCATTTTATTTTCTTTCTTTCTTACTTTCTTTTTCTTCCTTGTGTTGTTAGAATAGTAATAAGTACAAAAAATTTTGTAATATTTTTTTCTAAATCGATATAAAAAAAAAACGTTTAAACGAAAGTGAATAATAATATTGAATTCTATTTAACGATTAAAGAAATCTTTTGTTTTTTTCTCTCTTTTTCTTTTTCTTATACATTTTTGTTACGTTTATCCTTCGTCTAAAACATTCTATCTCATTTATTGCAGGTAAGATCTCACGGAATCGTGTTTGGAAGTGAGTGAGCGAAACGTGCACACGTCGAGAACCGGTGATTGTTTATGCCACGGGAAAAGGTAATCGAGTATAATTACATAGTGGCTACTAAAGAGGAAATTGGTCGTTCCAGCTGTCTCGCGTTATAATGCCGCTGGCTGCGTACGTGCTAGCTCCGAGATACTAAGAATCTAATCGCGTTGACCGAACGACAGACTATAATAATCGATATGATCGATATCTTTCCTTGAAATAACATTTTATTCCAATTTTTGAAATAATCACAAATCCGAATATAACTCGGTTTTTTAAAGAAAAAATAAAAAAAAAATAAAAGAAATGTAAGAATTTTTATAGTCGACATAATTCGTTTGACGTGTTCTGAAATTATACGTCATACGTTAATTATATTATTTTTGTATTATACGGAAAAAAGTTAATTTTCAAGTAGCAATATTTATTATGATACTAGATTATAAAATAATATGATATATATTTATTACGTAAAAAAAAAAAAAGAAAAGAAAATACCTAATATTTCTTATATTAATTTTCAATCATACAAATTGAAATTATTTACTTAACGTTATGAAAATTCAAATTGCATCGATGCGATCACATTATTATACGTTAATTATTTGATTATTTTTTAATACAAAAAGAAAAGAAATTCCCTTCAAAGAAAAATAATTTAATAACGATCCTAGATTAAAAAGAATTATATAAAAAATGTTATATTGTATAAATAAAAATAACCCATATATGAGACATTAATCCTCAATCATACAAATTAGAAATTCTTTACTAACGATGACAATTAAGACCGAGTAGGATACATAAAAGAAATATATGTATATATACTATAATATAATGTAAGCTATTTAGTATATTCAGACCCTTTATAATTAGGTAGGATAGATGAAGGAGACACAGTATAGGGAGCAGTAGCAGATCGGTGTTGTCGGTGGTGGTGGTGTGGTGTCGGCAGGGGCGACCGGTGCGGGGGTACGTTTCCTGTCCATTTTAATTGGGTTATTAACGGGTGCGAGCGTTTCCTGCCTCCTGTGACAAACCCCGTAGACTAACTCTCTCTCTCTCTCTCTCTTACTCTCTTTCTCACTCACTTGGTGCCGTTCTCTAGCAGCTGCCACCTCGTAGCACACGTTGCGCCTGTGAGGTAGGCACCGAGTATACTAGTACGGGTCGTGCCGGAAACCAATCTGTTCCGTTTGTCTTTCGCTACTTTAGTTTTCGTTCTCTTTCTTTCTCTTTCTCATTCTCATTCTCTTTCTTTATCTTTCTCTCTTATTCCACTCGTCATAAATATGCATAGTGGCCCGCTTAAAATTACGTTCACCGGGGTAATAATACCGTTCGTGAAAAATTAAACAAGCTTCTCGAAATAAGGGAGAGAGAGAGAGAGAGAGAGAGAGAGAGAGAGAGAAAGAGAGAGAGAGACGTATAAAACCGGTGGTGCACTTTCTTACATTTTATCTTTCTTCACGGTTAAGTCACGTGCAGATACGTATTTAGATTTTTATCCGTGTATTAGAGCGACACGTGTTGCTGAGGACAAAGAAGATCGAATAAGATAAGGGGCTTGATGGTTTCTTCCTGTATCTCATAGTATTATCGTAGAAAATTATTTACTAAAACATAATAATATATTATTATTTTAAATTTAATATTAGAGACAAAAATAACGTTGTGTGTATATAAATTCAATTAAATGATACTTTAATGCGATACGATCGATGATTAATCGTCAAGTTTATGATATTGAAAAGAAAATTTGCGCGAGACGATATGAATGAATAATTAATTATATTTTATATTAGTTGCCTACGAATTGCCGTATGCAAATATTTATTCACATATATGAACCGATGTTTTGCAATATTTAATGTTAAGTGAAAGAGATAGGGGAAAATAAGGAACGATGATGCAAATATGATTTTCTATATTAGGTCATCATCGTCGTGAAAACTGGTCGAGCGATCTTTGGCACAGTGCACCTTATGTTGGTTAACCAGCAAGAACAAAAGAGATAGAAAAAAAAAAGGAAAAAAAAGAGAGAAAAAAAATCACAAAAAGGAAAGAATAAAAAAAAAAAGAAAGGGTCGAGTAGCTCGGCATTCTCGCTTGAAACGGAGTCAGTCCCCCATGCATATGGATTAAGACGCTCCACATCCATCCTTCGTCCGTTCGAACGACCTACACCGGCCAGGATACATAATCCTGTTGGCGCGGCAAGCAAATCATGTTTATTCAGGAACGTATCCATGGCGATAGAGGGTTCATTGTTTGCCGAACGTATCGGCAGAGATATAAAAGAAAAGAGAGTACCACTGTCCGAGAGGAAGAAGAGTCAGCAAAGTTATCGAACCTTATTCCACTTCTCGATAGCTACCTTTATTCTCTTTATATTTCAAGGACATCAGATTTTCTCTCTCTCTTTCTCTCTTTCTTCTTTATACGATACATAGCTGTGATACGCAAAGGGGGAGAAAGAGAGAAGAGATTGCAATCGATGATGCGAATCGCCGGCCCGTCATCGATTACACTTCCTGCGGTCGATACCCGATCGATCGTTAGTAAATTTGATCGTTTTCAATACCGTTACGCTTCGATCGATCGTGTATGAATTATACCGCGCAAGGACGATCATGATGAACAACACGACAATAAGAAAATCTAATTTATTTCGATATCATCTTTTAAGCGGCGATTATTTTATCAAGGAAATCATCAACTTTCCTGAATCTCGATCAGATTTTTCTTTTTTATTTGTTTTTTGTATTTTTTATTTTTCTTTTCCCTTTTAAAATACGGCACCAATACGTGTTCTCCGATTCTTTATCTTACAGTTTTTTTTTTTTACCTTTTTTGTTTAATTTATTATTATCTTTACTTCGAGAATTTTTCATGATTATTGTTCTTATCTACGCGATAATAATAATTTATGATCATTAAATGGCGATTGATTTATTTGGCGTTAATTAAATAAATGGTTCGATATTCTATTAAATCTATTAGGGCTTTTGCATAAATTCCATTTACATAATTCGGGTTTTAATGTATATGTATCTATACCACAGTGCTTTCGCATTAACTCAGTCATGGCCTTATCGATTGATCCTATAAATTATATATCAAGGACGAACGTGGAATATGAATAATAGATCGAGTAATTGCTTCGTAATATCGCTTACACCTCCTTTATTCTAGGAATAATATTCAATAACAAGTGTATAGAGAGAAAGTTATAATAAATTATATATGAAATACGTATATTTATATTTAGAGTAGCTTAGATCAATAATGAAAAAGTATCAACCTTCACATTTATTATTTCTCGTTATTATCATACAATCGGATACGCAATATGTGAAACACGAAATATCTCATAAATTTATTCGAAATCTGTTAACACTTAACGTTCGTTAATTTGAAACGTTCATTAATTCTTAAATTAAACTGTCATGGTTTTGTAAAAAATTCCGAATTATATTTTAATTTTATATAATATTCTTTTAAAATATAAATGAAATATTTTATGCATAAATATGTGTGTTGTAAAAAAAGAAAGGAAAAAAAAAGTAAAAAAAAGAAAACCAATTAATTATTTATCGGTCGATAAACGATGGTAATTAAAAAGTCTATTAATAGTTTTCCTTCCGTTATATAACAGGTATTAACATTCAACTTTGTAAAGAACGTCAAGGCATATTAAAGTAGATATTATTATTTATCTGAAAGAAAGCACACATATTGAATTTAAATTCATGAATATATGATAGACATATAGATACTCTTTGCAAAATGTGTGTTCCCTAAGAGGGTTACATTTCCATCATACTATTCACAGACACGATACGAAGTGTCGTTTTGAAGTGAATAAGTCAGAGTGAAAGAGAATGAGAGAGAGAGAGAGAGAGAGAAAGAGAAAGATGTTGTAGGAACAACTCGTAAAGATTGATTTGAAACTACGAACGTAAAACGGTAGATGAAGTAAGGTCTTAAAGTAGTAGAATTGTAGTAGTAATAATAACAGTAGTGGTGGTGGTGGCGATGTTGGTGGTGATGATGGTGGTAGTGATGGTAATAGTGATGGTGGTAGTAGTAGTAGTAGTTGCAGACCGCGCACTGGATTGCCACGAGTATGCAACGCGAAGAACAATGCATATTCATGAAGCAACGTGCATATTTACGAGCGGCTGTTCAGCAGGATCCACGGCACAACTTTACAAAGCTTCGTTCTACTATCGCCCCGTGAATGAGGGAGAAGAAAAGCAACACCCACCCTCGCCGATATCTCCCCATTACTTGCCTCGCAATATCGCACTCTAATAGGAAGCAATGAAGAAACTTATTTTCTTCCTTAGATCGCGATATATATTTTCTTTTCAACAATTTTTTTGTTACTTTTTGTTCGAGTCTTTCTTTCAAAATAACGATTTATTCGTGTCATTTGGAAATATTAATAATCATGTTTGCTTTCTTTTTTTTTTTTTATCTTTTATTTTTCTAATCTATAAATTGTATTCTTCAAAGCAAAATATCATACGTATTACGTAAAGAGCGAAAAAATAGTCGTAAATTGTTCAAATGGCCCTTGTATGTTTTATGCATTAAGTCAAATAAATTTATTACTGACTCGATAATTTATTCTATTTAAGAGGAAAATAAAAAAAGAAAAAAAAGATGGATTGATATTATATAACGGAAAAAGAGAATGTTGAAATCAGACTCGACGTAGGATCGTAATATATTATTTTTTATTTTATTATAATATAAATTGAAATTACGTATGTTAACATATGGTCGATTAAATACATACACACATACACAGACACACACACACACGAAACTTTGTAATTAAGAAGGAATAAAGGAAATGAGGATGAAAGGAAAGAATGAAGAAAGAAAGAAAGGAAGTTAGGGGTAGATAGGTAGGTATAGGTTGGATGAAAAAAAAATATCCTTGGAAAGTAGGTCGATCGAAATCGCACAACAGCCGTGACGATAATTCTTCACCAACATGGAAGAAACACGTACGCTATGCGAAACGATTCCGTTGCAAATTGAAGAAAAAAGAAGAAGGAAGGAAAGAAGGGGTCTGGTAGGAAAAGGGGAAGCGATGAAAACCGATGTAAAAACAAATATACGAATACGAATGCATTTGCTTACGTGTATACGAGTTAGAGGAGGGGGAAGAGGATATAACGAAGAAAAATGAAGTATAAACAAATCGGTTGATGAAACGAGCGTTATTAAAAGTACCTAATTGTTCGGGTTTTATTACTGTGCTTGGTTGAAGGCATGCAACATCGAGAATGGCTGTTTTTCATTGCCCATGCTAATTAATGATTCACGGTAGGGATATGAAATAAAAAAAAAAAAAAAAAAAAGAAAAGGGAAGAAAAAAGACAAAAAGAGAGAGAGAGAAGGGAACACAGAGATCACTCGACATGTATACTGCTCGTTAAAGAGTCTTTATCGTCATTGGATGGATGCTGCAAAGCAAAAGTCGAGTGCTCGCCTTTTCAATGTAATCCTTTAACCATTCGCGTCGATGAAGATCCGTATATACGATCTATATGAACCTACTTAAAAGAACGACTTCGACGATTAGTCCGTTAACATTTTCATGCTGAACATCGTTTAGCTTCTTGTCTGTCTTTCGAGCGTATGCACTCGTTCGTTAATCGTTAAGCCAATTGGGATACCATCATTCAGTCTATATATGAACAAAAGAGAAGCAAAGAGAGAGAGAGAGATAGAAGGAGATAGAAAGGGAGAGAGAGAGAGTTCTGAAATAGTGAATTTAATTCAGATATTTATTTTTTACATGCCACAGCCGTGTAAGTATAGAAAATCATTTGCAAAAACGTCGATTAAATAATGCTCTTGTAAAATTTTAAAACGGAATTTAACTGAGAGGATGCTTTGAAAAAAGAATATAATTAATTTCTTTTTTTTTTTTTTTTTAATATTATTATTATCTTTTAAATACTTTTTTGTTTTGTTTTAGATGCAACGTACAACGGATTATCGATTTTTATATTTTTTTTTATTGTCTTTTTCTTCCTTTAACGCGATAAAGAAAATAAAAAATAAATTTCTTTGGAAGTAAGTAGACGTGTACGTACTAACGATTGATAACAATAAGCACGTATACGAACGACAATTGTCGGTTAAATCGATAGAACGAACGATGTCATTCTCTCCTATTTGTAATGATAATCTGTCAAAGTTTGGCTCGTCGAAAACGACATAAAGTGGCAGTTGGGCCGGTCGGCCTTGAAAAGCCAGCAATTACACGTCCGGCTCAAATAAGCGGAGACAACGCGCGTGACATCATACCTTGTCTCGTTTCACACGTGCTCATATAAATGTATGCGTGATTTAACGCTCGCGCAATTTTGACTATCTATCGTATGAAATTTAA